GCAGCCCCGAGGCCAACGGCATCGCTGCCGAGCAGAACCGTCTCAACCTCGCCCATGAGAAGGGGACCACTGCCTGCGAGAGGACCACGGGTGAGCCGGGCAGGGGGACAGATCCAGCCGACTCGTGTGGGGACTTGGGGGGCTGCCCCCGGGGAGGGGATGCCATTCCCCGCAGGGGCGGATGCTAACCTGCTTCTTGCTCCCCACAGGGCTGTGAGTGCCACCAGGGATGACAGCGGTGTCTGCCGGAGCAGCCGCCGCGGGACAGGCAGCCTGCCAGGAGCACGGGGCCGAGGGTGACGCCTGCCTGCCCGGTGGGGCTGGCTGGGCAGCCCTGTCCCGCTGGGCAGCGGTGGGGACAGGAGCCTTGGGGGGCATTCCTACTTCATTTTCAAAAAGGGAATATCTTATTTTTGTACGTTTTTATAAACTCATCAGCCTGTGCACCCTGGCATTTTTATACTCCGCTCCCAATCTCTGCTCTGGGCCTACGTCCCCATCCCATTTCTCCCCCCCCATCTCCCGTTTCACCCCCTTTTCTTCCTCTCGCACCCATTTCCTGCAGCATCTTCCCCTCACACCTCCCCGTGCCCTCCTGTGCCCGCTGCCACCCGCTGCTGCGCTGGCCCGCGATGCTGGTGTTGCCCCTGCAGCGGCGGGGTTTAGGGGAGCTGAGCCTGGGGGTCTGGGCTGAGCCACGGGGCAGGGTGCTGGGCTGGTGTTGCTCTTGAAGTGGAGGGGACGGAAGGGGTCCTGATCCTGGTGGCGCCACTGCCGGAAAGTGCTGATGTGGCCGGCGGGGGCGGAGGACCGTGCTGCACAGTGTCCTGGCACAGGGTGCGGGCCATGGGGCTGTCCTGCTGGGAAATGTCTGTGCAGAGGGCAGGGGCTGTCCTTCCTGCCTCCTCTGCCCCGCTCCCGGCCGGCCGCCCTTGGACCAAAGCCCATCCCCTCCCATTCTGGCAATGGGGCCAGGACCCCCTGTGTGGGGCCAGACCCTGGTCCATGGTGTGGGGACATGGTGCCTCGAGCTGGGCTCGTCCGGGAGCCAGCGGAGGATTTCTCATCATCTCAGCCTGGGTCACACAGGGATTTTTGTAGCATTGTTTTTTACTCAGAACTTACTGTCACGGGTTTTTTTTCTTTTTTTTTTTTTTTTTTTTTTATATCTATATTAGTAAAGGCTGGAGACGTTTTGTACTGAACTGCTGTATCCGGTCCTTCGGGAGGAAGGGGTGGGAAGGGAATCCTGCGCAGCTGGGCTGGGGCGGGCGGCGCGCGCCTGCCCGGGGACCTCCCCGCTTGCCCGGGGTGACTCAGTCGTTCCTGCCGTGC